AAGCAATACATTCTTAAACAGTCAATGGATCACAAAGAAATCACAAAGGAAATTGGGAAATACTTAGAAACAAATGGAAGCAAAAACACAACATACCAAACGTAGGAGATACAGCAAAAGCAGTGCTGAGGGGGAAATTTACAGCTCCAAATGCTTACATTAATAAACACATCAGATCTCAAATCAATAACCTAACTTTATAACTTAAAGAAATATAAAAAGAAGACCAAACTAAAGCCAAAGCTAGCAGAAGCAAGGAAATAATAAAGATTAGAGCAGAGAGAGACAAAATAGAGAATATAAAAATGTGGAGAAAATAAACGAAACTAATGGTTGGTTCTTTGGAAGGATCAACAAAATTGACAAACTTTTAGCTAGATGGGCTAAGGAAAAAAAGAGAGAAGACTAAAATTACTAAGACCAGGAATGACAGTGGGAGCATTGCTACTGATTCTATAGAAATAAAAAATACCGGGCCGGGCGCGGTGGCTCACGCCTGTAATCCCAGCACTTTGGGAGGCCGAGGCGGGTGGATCACGAGGTCAAGAGATCGAGACCATCCTGGTCAACATGGTGAAACCCCGTCTCTACTAAAAATACAAAAATTAGCTGGGCATGGTGGCGCACGCCTGTAGTCCCAGCTGCGCGGGAGGCTGAGGCAGGAGAATTGCCTGAACCCAGGAGACGGAGGTTGCGGTGAGCCGAGATCGCGCCATTGCACTCCAGCCTGGGTAACAAGAGCGAGACTCCGTCTCAAAAAAAAAAGAAATAAAAAAGAAATAAAAAATACCGTAGGAGCATACTCTGAACAATCATATGTGAACAAATTGAATGACCTAGATGAAATGGACAATTCCTAGAAACACAAAACTTCTCCAGGCTAAATCATGAAGAAATGGAAAATCTGAATAGACATATTAACTGGCAAGGAGATTAAATCATTAATCAAAAATCTCCAAACAAAGCTGGGACACGGTGGCTCACACCTGTAATCTCAACGCTTTGGGAAGCCACAGTGTGGGGATCACCTGAGCCTAGGAGTTCAAGAGCAGCCTGAACAACATAGGGAGATCCCATCTCTACAAAAAATTAAAAATTTCGCCAGGCACGGTGGCTTGCACCTGGAGTCGCAGCTACTCCAGAAGCTGAGATGGGAGGATGGCTTGCACTACGGAGGTCAAGCTGCAGTGAGCTGGGACTGCACCACTGCACACCAGTCTGGGGGACAGAGACCCTGTCCGAAAAAAAGAGAGAGAAACCACAAACCGAAACAAACAAAGAACACTCAGCAAACTAGAAATTGCTAGAAATGTATTCAGCCTGATACACAGCATTTACAAAAAACCTTCAGCAAACGTCATTCTCAGTGGTAAAAGGCTGAAGGCTTTTGACCTAAGGACAGGTGCAAGGTAAAAATATCTGCCCTTGCTGCTCCATTTGGCATAGTGCTGGGAGTCCCAGCCTGCAGGATCCAGCCCCACAGGGTCCTGTGAGCCCCTCTCTGCTGGTGTGGGGATGAGAAACTGCAGAAATAAAAGACACAAGACACAGAGATGGAGAAAAGAGAGTTTGGGCCCAGGGTCCACTGCCAACCAAAGTGCCTGGACGCTCTGACTTTTATTGAGTACAAAGCAGGGGGCAGGGTAGGTAGGGCGTGGCATTGGTGGTCCGTGATAGGGTCAAGCGCATCACGCGTCATATAGGTAGGGACCCGAGACTTTCAGGTGGCCGAGATGAGGTAAGGAGCATCATGTGTCATCACTTTTCCATACTTGTTAGGAAAGAAGGAGGCATTAGGATTTATCGTACTTTTACTGATTATCTCTTCTAAGAAAAAAGGAGCCAGGTGCAGAAGCAGAACGTGAGAGTGGACCTGGAACGTGACCACTGAAGCACAGCATCACATAGAGACAGTTGAGCCCCAGATGTCTGTGGGCCTCCTGACAGCCGTCAGGCCTCACAAGAGCGGAGTTTTCTCCAACCTTCCCCAGGAAGGAGACGTCTTGGCCATCTTGGACATCTCCTCCCCTAGTTGGCTAAACAGCGGGGCTTTCCCAGCGCTGGCGCTGCCGCACAGCCGAGGTGCCCTCCAGCAGCCCTTATGCGGGCGTGACAGAGGGCTTAGAGCAGCTTGCCTTAGGGTCATTCATTTCACACTGTCACCCCAGGTTCACACTTCCGACCTGAGAGGCATTAGTAAAGGAATTAGGATCACCTATGAATAACTAAGATCACCTATGAATAACTAAGATCACATACGATTAATAACTGCTACGGTATTTGTAGTTACTTTCTTCATTATTTATACGGAAACAAACTGAAGCTTCTGGCTCCTGCCTCAGCACTTATGGGATCTCCCCCCTACACCAGCCAGCGCAGTTAGGCAAGAAAAAGAATTCTAAGGCATCCACATTGGAAAGGAGGCAGTAAAATTATCTCTGTTTGACAGTGACTTGATTTTATGTGCATTAATAGAAAACTCTAAAGATTCCACCAAGGGTTAGGCGTGGTGGCTCGAGCCCGTAATCCCAGCAGCTTGGGAGGCCAAGGTGGGAGGATTGCTTGAAGCCAGGAGTTGAAGACTAGCCTGAGCAACGTAGTGAGACCCCCATCTCTACAAAAGACAAAAATTAGCCGGGCATGGTGGTGCACGTCTATAGTCCTAGCGGCTCGGAAGGCTGAGGTGGGAGGATTACTTGAGCCCAAGAGGCTGCGGCTGCAGGGCGCTGTGATCACACCACTGCACTCCATCCTGGGTGACGGAGCAAGACCCTGTCTCAAACAACAACAAGAAACGCATGAATGAGGCTGGGCATGCTGGCTCACGCCTGTAATCCCAGCACTTTGGGAGGCCGAGGTGGGTGGATCACCTGAGGCCAGGAGTTTGAGACCAACCTGGGCAACATGGTGAAACCCCGTCTCCACCATGCTCCTCAGTTCTCTACAGGAGAATCGCTTGAGCCTGGGAGGTGGAGGCTACAGTGAGCTGAGATCATGCCATTGCACTCCAGCATGGGCAACAGAGCACGACGCCGTCTCAGAAAAGAAGAAATGTACAAATGAGCGAACTACTGGTATCTTTCGGGAGCTCTGTGGTGACTGCCCCCTGTAAACTCGGGTTGATACTGGGGAAAACAGTCAGAACTGACTGCCCTAATATCAACTTGGATGTGGGATTCTGGAAGAGAAGAGGTTACCCGGCAACATTTAACTGTCAGAGGCAAGGTGGGTACCACGGTGGGCAGAAAGCTAGGGTGGCGCTCAGGACGCCTTGGCCTGGGGAAGGGGTGGGCGGTCAGTAGGGTGTTGCTGACCCAGTGAGTATGATCAGAGACACGTCAGGCTCTGCCAGCTGGACAGCAGCCGCCAAGGTCCCTCACCCAGTTTCCAGATTTAAGTCAAATTCAGACTCAGCTGTCAAATCGAAGAGGAAGCTGGAAGCCCTTGGGCATGCGGCTCTCCCACTGCTCCTACCAGTTATGCTCCCACTGTGTCCCCGAAGGAGTCTGTGGCCATTTGCCAGGGTGAAGTGTCACGGCGAGGGACAGAGAGAGGCTTTTCGAGGACTGGGGAAAACGGTGTACCGCCGGACACTGACATTGACACCAGGACTCTGGGAGTGGTGGAAGGCACCGTGGCCCAAGTCCATCTCTAACGGGCCCAGCGGGTCTGTAGGTCTGCCCTGTTTATTGGGATACACATTCTTAGCTGCCAGCTGAATGCTCACACTGGCTCCTTGGCTGGAGGAGTAAGGGTCGTTACAGCAGAAAGAACCAAGTGGGGGCCTATGGAACTTCCTGCCTCCACCAAGACAGTGCGCCTGATGGAAGCAATGCCTTTGCTGGAGAAATTGCGGAGGTTAACACAACATCAGAGACCAGGGAAGCAGACGTGGTGCTCCCAACACACCTCCATTAGGTTCACCTGTCTGGCCTTTGCAAAAACAAAGTAATGATGACCGTGAGTGGCGGACTGCAGTAGGCTCGAATGAGCGGCAGGGCCAGTGGGAGCTGCACGCCGGGAGAGGTCTGCGCTGCAGCAGAGCAATACAGCCTCTGCACTTGGTGTGTGACTGGCATTTTGGCAAATTCTTTCTTCTCAATGTCCTCGCTCGGGAGGGGCAAAGCATTCACCTCCACCAGCAGACAGCAGCACTCCTTCCCTCCTTCGCCTCGGGGCTGTGGGTGCTCCTGGGCTTTCTGGTGGGCGGAATAATGTCCCCCAAAGATGTCCACCTTCTGTTCCCTGGAACCTATGAATATTCGAGGTGATGCACAAGAAGGGAATGGAGGTTGCAGATGAATTAAGGTTGCTGACTGGCTGGCCTTAAGCCGGGAAGACCGTCCCAGATTACCCAGGAGAGCCCATGTGATCGCGAGGATCTGTAAAAGTGGAAGAGGCGGCCGGGCACGGTGGCTCACGCCTGTAATCCCAGAACTTTGGGAGGCCAAGGCGGGTAGATCACGAGATCAGGAGTTCGAGACCAGCCTGGACAACATGGTGTACGTCTCCACTAGAAGTACAAAAATTAGCCTGGCGTGGTGGCGGGTGCCTGTAGTCCCAGCTACTCGGGAGGCTGAAGCAGGAGAATCACTTGAACCTGGGAGGTGGAGGTTGCAGTGAGACGAGATTGTGCCATTGCACTCCAGCCTAGGTGATGAAAGCAAGACTCTGTCTCAAAAAAAAAAAAGGTGGAACAGGAGCCGGGCATGGTGGCTCACGCCTATAATCCCAGCTCCCCAGGGGGCCAAGACAGGGGGATCATGTGAGCCTAGGGTTTTGAGACCAGCCTGGGCAACACAGCAAGGTGCCGTCTCGAAAAAAGAAAAAAATTAAATGTTTTATTAATCAAAAAAAAAAAAGAAAATTAAAAGAGGAGAAAAAAGCTGGCTAATAGAAGCAGACGAACAGGTGGCCCAGATGTTAAATTTAGCAGAAAAGAGCTTTAAATAGGTATCATAACTATATTAAGGAAAATATGAACGAAATAGACACAAGTATTGATAATTTTCAAAAAGGAACTAAAAGCTATTAAAAGTGAATCCAAAGGGCATTCAGGAACTAAAAACTACAATATATAAAAGTAGCGTTTCTGATCTCATTTATCTGTAAATGAAAGCGTAATTATTCACACAACAAAGTCATTTTTTAAAATATACACTATAAGGCAGATGTTTTTCACTCACTTCTGCTGCAGGCTTCGTGGCCAGATGTTAAATGTCCTGCCAGATCAACAAAAGTTCAGCCTCAAGAACACACCCAAGACCACATTTCCAAGTGCAATCGTAATTCCACTGAGCAAATGAGAAGGGGACACACGTCTAAATGCTAAGCAAAATGCATTCTCAAGGTTTTCCATCCCAGCAAACTCCAGACTGAACAACTCAAGTCAAACAGCCCAAGCCCTTGAGAAGAAAAATGGCAAAGATGAAAAAAAGATGGAGAAAATCCTACACAGTCACACTGAAAGAGGCCCGGCTCACATGGGAGCACACACCTGCAGTCCCGGCTGCTTAGGCTGAGGCGGGAGGATCGCTTGAGCTCAGGAGCTGCAGGCTGCAGTGAGCTAGGGAATAGCATAGTGAGCCTGGGAATAGCACCTGGATTCCAGCCTGGGTCAGACAGCTGACCCCATCTCTTAAAAAAAAAAAAAAAAGAAGCCGGGCGCGGTGGCTCAAGCCTGTAATCCCAGCACTTTGGGAGGCCGAGGCGGGTGGATCACGAGGTCAAGAGATCGAGACCATCCTGGTCAACATGGTGAAACCCCGTCTCTACTAAAAATACAAAAAATTAGCTGGGCATGGTGGCGCGTGCCTGTAATCCCAGCTACTTGGGATGCTGAGGCAGGAGAATTGCCTGAACCCAGGAGGCGGAGGTTGCGGTGAGCCGAGATCGCGCCATTGCACTCCAGCCTGGGAAAAAAGAGCAAAACTCCTTCTCATGAGGAAAAAAAAAAAAAAAGAAAAAAGAAAAAACAAATTCCCAAACCAAAAACAGTGGGAGAGGGAGACAGAAGTGGAGAGCCAGAGGGAAGGAGACTTCAGCGTGGCTGGCTCTCCTCGACGTCAACCCCACGAGGCCATGCCAGGCGGCCACCCTGCAGAGCTGGTAGGTGTGGTTTGAAGCCCCTCCATCTGTGGTGGCTGCCACAGCAGCAAAGGGACACAGGCACAGGGACCCCATCTTCTGGGCACGTTCATAGTCCCAGGAGCTCTGGGGGTGGGGGAAAAGCACCCGGCGAAAGGCTCAACAGATCTGGACTGTGCCAGGACACTGTGGGGCAAAAGACAGATGTTTGCACCTGTGCCTCCGTCCAGCAAGAAGACCCCGTGCTTGGCAGGCCCTTTAGCACTGTGGTGGCAATGCAGGCCACGTTTGGGGCCACTGCCCCACCTGCTGACTGAGAGGCCCAGAGGCTCACTGTCCCCAGTGTGGCCAGGGCTGTTGGCTGAGGTGTGAGTTGCTGGGCCGCTTGGGCCACACTGTCCGGTTGGAGGATCCACTGTGCAGGAGGTGTGGGGAGTAGGGTAGGTATGTAGCCTTTGGCAGGCCCCCCACGGAGCCTCCCACAGGTTTCTGGGGCTCTGGGGCTCAGCCACACCTTCCTGGCGGAGGCTTTTCTTCCTTCAGAAAGCAGCTCCCAGCACGCTGCCTTCCAGGCAGGGTTTCCCAGCTGTGCAGTCACAGCCTCGGGCAGCCAGCCGCCATCTACTGTGTGGTGGACACGGTGTGTGCAGGGCCTGGCCCAGGTGGCACAGGTGAGGCCTGGGGCCAAGTGACCACATCACATTCTCCCCCTTTTGCGGCACAGACGCCTCCTGGGGAGGGCGCTGATGCAGGAGGAAAGGCAGGAAAGGGCTCCCACACGCTGGCGCCAACTCCGGCCTGACCTCCCCTGCACGGAGACTGCAGCCAGCACAGCCCATGCCGTAGTCCCATGCAGGGACGTCCTGGGGGGCAGCAGCAAGGGACAGCCCCCCTGGGGGCACCTGGTCACCCACTTCCTGCGGATGGAAAGAGCCGCTCGAGCTGTGTGTGTCACTGACTCCAGACACCGGTGAGGGCTGGGCTGGCTCTCCAGAGCCTGAAGTGGGCAAGCTCAGGACGGCGGTGACGCGGACAGCAGGGAAAGGCTGGGGATGGGCCTGTGAGGAGCAGGGAATGCCAAGCTCAAGGGAAGGCTCTGCATCTTGTGGGGACGCCCCTAGGGAGAGTCGGGGTCGCAGACAGGCAGGTGACATCATGACTGCATCATGGACGGCAGTCAGCAGGCCCCGGGCAGAGTGGCATGGGGGCAGGAATGGTGGCTACACCACCAGGAGCTCCTTTTCCAACACTGAGCTAGAGCAGGGCCACCCACGTGGACAAGCCCTTTTTACGGATCACCAGACGTGTGGCAGCAGCAGGGCTGCAGGCCGAGAGGAGGAGGCTGGGAAGGCGTGCTCTGTCTGGAGGGACTTCCTGGAATAGACTCCAAGTGCAAAAATAGCGGGTCCACGTGATGGCGGCCAGGTGTCCCCAAAGGCACGGAAAGCGCTGAGACAGCGGCATGGACTCTTCCAAGGGCCCGTGAGCTGGGCGGCCACGGCCGCAGGCTGGAGCCTGGCACGTCCTCAACACTAAGTGCCCAGCCCTGAGCCTCCCACCTGGAGGCTGAGCAGTTTCACTCGGCCCCTGCTGCTCCGAAGGAAACGCCGTCTATTCCGGCTAAAACAGACGTTCCCAGCAGACGCATAGAATCCTGCCTGCCAACCCCACCTATGTGGTCCCAGCGCCCCAGCAGCCCTGCTCCCGAGCTGGAAACCCACTTTGTAGCAAAAAGAGGCTCCATGGCAGGGGTCATGGGGCCCCCTGCTCCTGTCTGCCCCACATCCTGCAGAGCAGCCAAGGCCCCCAAGACACCTAGGCAGTGATGTTGGACTGAACGGGAGGACGGCTAGGAGTCCACCTCCAACTACAGAAAGCAAAACGGGGGCACCCCCGCCTTTCCCTGACACCAAGAGCAGGAGAGCTGCCTCTTGGTCTCCCACCAGGAGAGAGCGACAGCAAGACACAGGATCAACTGGAGACCGTCCCGGGCAGAGCCTCAGTGCTGGCCTTCAGTGGCAGATCTTCCTAGGGCCTGGCCTTGCCTGTGTTCCCTGCTTCCTCTCACTGCTGCCTCTTGCCAAGCCCAAATCCCCAGCTACTGGACCCGCTCCACCGCTCACATCCCAGCGGGCCTTTCCACGCATGCTCCCTCCTGTCAGAGTCTCATCAAACAACTGTCACTACTTCCGTCTTTAGGACAGGGTCAGGCTTTATCCCGGCACCCCCAGCAGGGTGGGGGGTACACAGGCGATCAGGTGATGGGTGATGCCGGGGCCTGGGCTGGAGGCACGCCAGCTGGTGGTGCCCGCCTGCATCTGGAGGCTGCAGCCAGCATGGCCCATGACCAGCAGGGACGCACCAGGGTCAGACCTGATGTGGGCCACGGGGCTGCGTAGGCTCCATGGAGAGGCACCAAGCAGCGAGCAGTAGGGACCAGGGTGAGGCATGCCCGGCACCAGCGCGGAAGCAGGAGGTCGGCAGCGGCCAGGACAGAATGGGCAGTGAGGGCATCGGCGGGTGCGGGGGGACTGGCAACGCTGGGAGGCGCTGCTGAGCCTCAGAGCGGTTCTGGGACAGGAGGGTTTAAGGAGTCGACCCTCGTGGGGAACGGCGCGGGGTGGGACCCGCGGAGCCTGAGAAGGCGGCTCGCGGCCCCGTTTCCTGCCACCCTGCCCCTGGCAAGCAGCAAACCGGGAAGGAGGCGGCCCCGACCCCCGCGAGGGTGCTCATGCGTGCCGCAGGCCTGGGCCGAGCACTCACCCACACGTGCATGTGTCATGCCAGCGTGGCCCCACACCACGTGTGTCCTGGCCCAGGGCAGCCCCCTGCTGCCAGCTGGCCCACCCGCCCACCCCCAAGGCGCCGGCTCTCACCTGTGGGGGCCTCGGGGCTCTCGGCAGGCTCAGGCTGCCTCACCTGCTGGCCCGCTTTCCTCTGCGGCGGATGGTTCTCCCCAGGCTTCCCTAGAGAAAAAGGGCTGTCAATGAGCTTGGGGTGTGAGGGCCCCCCGCCCCATCAGCCTTGAGAGGCACCAAAAGGGCCATAGGTCCTGGCCGCTAGGGAGGCCCCACCCAGGCCTCTGCCCGAGGACAACCTTAAGGAGCACGGGCTCCTCCCCCAGCACGCACTCCTCTGCACAGTGTGGTGGGGGGAGGCTCAGGGAGGCACAGGCCAGGGCCAGCCAGCAGGAACAGGCCTGGGCTCTTGTGGGCCCAGGGTGGGCAGGCTGCACCTCTGGTTGGAGGACCCTGTGAGCTGGCAGTGCTGCCTGCTGTCCCCGCCCCACCCCTGATGCTGTCCCCCACCTTGCGCCACTGCCCTCCCCCAGGCCCTTCCTGTCCCCGTGTTCAATTCAGTGCTCCCCTGGCAGATGGCTGTCTCTCTGCTCCTGAGCTTCTGGCGTTAGACAGGAGCGAGTATGCTCCGGGCAGGGTTGGGCCAGGCAAACCAGTCTGGCCAGTGTGGCTGAGCCGGCTGGGATGGGGCCCTGGGCGTGGGTGTGAGTCAGCGGCCCCAGGCTGGGGAAACGCTAGGGAGGAGGCCGCCTGGAGCCCACCCTCCCGACGAGAAGCCCAGGGGATGCCAGCATTTTGGGCTAGTCCTGCACCCCCACCTCTGGTCCTGAGACCCAAAGGCAGCTCTGGCCCAGGCTCTTCAGGCCCTGGTTGCAGTGGGCAAGACAACCAGCTCTGAGCCAGGATGGCACCAAGAGCCCCCGCCCCACCTCCATCACTGCCCGATCTTTTCTTTTGGCCCCACATCAGTTCCCAGTCTGCTCTGTGGGTCTCCAAGGGCCCAGGCTCTCCCGCCAGCCACAGCACTGTGGCCTGAGTCCTGCCCTAGCTCCCCCGGGTCCCTGGGTTCTTTGTCTCCACCGAACGAACACCGTGGGCAAGCTCAAACCCCAGCAGGGCTCCTGTGAGCGTGCTAACTGCCCTGGAGCCCCCCGGAGTGCTCAGGGTGGGCTGGGGCTGTGGGTTCCCAAGGCCAGCTGGGCTCAGTTTGTCTGTGGCCAGTGAGGGTCTGGGCCCTGAGGGTCAGCGGCCAGGGTGCAGCTCCAGGCTCTGTGGCCTGCAGTTTGAGTTTCCCTGACCAGATGTGGGACCGGGGGAGCTGGGGTAGGGCGGGGGCGGGGGGCATCGGTGCCGCCCAGGGCAGGACCAGGCATGCCCGGCGCTGTCGGCGCTCCAACTGCTGTGCTGCCTCCTCCGGCTTCTCAGCCTCCCTCCCAGTCTCGCCAGCAGGGCCTGTGGCCTGTAAAGCCCCGTGCCCGCCGTGTCAGCGCGTCAGTCAGCCGCTCAGCCCGGGCAAGCCTCCGAGCTGCAGAGTCCCTATAAACTCCCTGGTGTGGCCAGGCCCCGCCGAGTGGGGCCAGTGAGGCCCATAGGCAGAGCCAGAGTCCCGAGCTGTGGTGCCGCGGGCACCAGCCAGGGGGCAGGGCCTGGAACAGGGGGCCGAGCCTGGCGTGGGAGCGCACAGCCACCGTGGCCTCCCAGGACGCCCTCTGAGCTGGCCTGACTGAGGCCGAGGTCGATGAGCCACGGCCCCTGGGGAGCAGACACCTGGTGAAGGAGGCGCTGGAGCCAGGGCCATGTCTGGGAAGCGAGGTCGAGTTCGCAAAGCCCGGGCCAGGAGGGCGGGCAGGGCCCAGATGGCAGCTGGCCAGCAGGGCCCTGAGGTCCAGCCCCCACCCCCGACCCCAGGGGGCCCTAAGGGGGAAGCGGGGGTGGCCCCTACAGGGCACGTGACCAGCATCGAGCAAGCTCCTCAGGGACACCCCAGGGTGGCTGGGCCAGAGCAGCCACAGGCAGCCTTGAGGCCAGAGCAGGCCACTGCTCTGGGGTCTGAGCTGGTGCTGGTCCTCGCTGGGCACATGGAGGGCTGCGGAGCAGGGGGCCCCATGCCGGCCCTGGGCCCTGAACTGCTGAGGCTCCATGAGGTCCAGCTGTGCCTGGCCCAGGAGCAGCTGCTGCTGGAGGACCGCTGGCGGCAGGTCCAGCTGCAGATGCAGCTGTGGCAGGAGGAGCAGCTGTGGCTGCAGCAGCTGCAGGAGGAGCAGCTGTGGCTGCAGCAGCTACAGGAGGAGCAGGCCTGGGCACACGTGGAGGGGCTGCAGCTGGCCGTGACCCTGGAGCAGCTCCGGAGTCAGAGGCCCGAAGCACTGCAGACCCAAGGCCAGGTAAGGCCTGGAGTGGGTGGCAGGGAGGGGCCCCGGACTGTTGGGTTGGTGTGTGGCCGCTCCAGCAACCTAGAGATGCCTGCGGAGGGCCAGGATGCCAGGCTGGATGCGGGCATCTGTGGGCCCATCTTCACATCTGCCAAGTGAAGTGGGTTCCTGCCACACGGCACTGCATGACCAAGGGACAGCCAGCCTGCCCAGGCTGCCCAGTGCTTGGTGGAAACAGGCACTGAGGGCAGATACTTGTTCAGGGACAGAGGTGTCCCCGTAGCAGACCCAGGCAGGGGGGGCCAGGACTGTCCAGGGTAGTGTATGGGCTGCAGGGCAGGGTGAGGGCCCGGGTGTGCAGAGTCAGCAGGTAGCAGAACTGAACGCAGCCCCCCGCCCCCGCAATCCAGTTTCCCGGCTGGCTTGCTGGTCCACCTGCCCTGCCCCCTGTTTACTGGAGTGCAGTGCACTCAGGGCTAGAGACTGCGGAAGCAGCACGCGGCGCCTGGGCCCATTATCCTCATTCCAGGAGGGCTGCCCGCCTCAGACGCGGCTGGGGCTATTTTGGGGAACTAGACTCTAACCCTAGCCTGGCATGGAGGAGCGGTCGCCATCACCCCACCTGTTCCTGTGAAGCTGGGAGCTCTCTGGCATCCAGGGGTGTTGGGCCAGGCCCACTCTAAGCAGAGGGGCAGTCTGGGAAGAAGGGTGGGGCTCCCTTGGCAAGCACAGAACCCAGTGCAGGCCTGTGTGCTGGAGGACCCCAGATCTGCAGCCTGGAAAGTGTTCACAGCCAGCACAGAGAATAAATGGGGGTCGGGGCAAGGGAGGGACATCAGTGAAGGTGGGGCTGGCGGGGCGCAGTGGGGAAGTCTCCTTCCTGACCCACAGGAAAACCCAACCCAGGTGAGTTGTCACCTTCCAACCTGGAAGTGACTATGGAGAAGGTGGCCTGGGAGCAGAGGCAGCAGGCAGAGGGTGGCACGGGACGGCCCCACAGAGCAGAGGCAGAGTGGACCACACACTTAGACAGACAATCCCCAACTCGGGCTCAAGCCCTCTTTCAAAACCCATTTTTGACCACCTAAGCCCCTTCCACTCGCTCCTGCCCCCTTCCCACCTCCATGTGTTCCAAAGCAGGGCTTCTCTGAGTGCTGTCCCCAGGCCCCGCCCCAACCCCAGGGGTGTAAGATTCAGGCTCAGGGTCTGAGATGAATGAATGGGCTCCGAACCCTCAGTCAGTCACACCCAATCCCAACTCTGAGATCCCCTGAAAGCCACTCTTGGAAGGAGGGCTCTTCTCAGAGGGGTGTCCCTCTGTGGCTGCATAGAGGGTCTGGCAAGCCAGTGTCTGGGTGACAGTGCCCTGGAAGTCAGAGGGTGCACTCACCAGCAATGGCACTCGACTTGGGCCCAGGGTGGGGCGTCTGCCACTTTCCAGCTGCAGCTTTTGGGCCCCTCTTCTTACTGTGCATTCTCCTGGGGGGTGAGAAGGACCAGAGACAGGGTGCTCAGAGTGGCAGAGGGCAGGGGCAGTGGGGAGCAGGGCACACCACGCGGGCCTGAGTGGATGACAGCAGGAACACGGGCTCCCCTGAGGCTTCCCAGCTGATGTCCTGCCTGCCTGCCTGCCCCAGGTGTGTGCCCAGTAGCTTGAGCCAGGATGCCTGGCAAGAGCACTTGACCACAGCCCATCCCCCAGTCCCCCAGTCCCGGTTTGCCCGCCTTCCACCCCAGGCTCAGCCCATCCCCCTGCCAGGCCCATGATCTGGAGTCCAGCACTCACCTCCCTGCTCCAGGCTGCTGGGTTCTCACCACAGGCATGAGCACAGCCCCCTCTGCTGAAGCCTCCATGCCTCTCCACTGCCCTGGGAACCCAGTCAACCCCTGAGCCTGCTCCCCAGCCACGAAAGGCACTGACCCATCCACACTCTGAGACCCTCTCTGGTCCTGGCCTTGGCAGATGCTATTGTCAGGCCTTGGAGCATCACCCCTCTCCCTAGTCCACACTGCTGACCCCCAAGTTCATCCCTGGGAGGATCCTCCTGCCTGCCCCAGCCTGTCGGGGTCCTCGCCGGTGCCCCACGACCCTCACCCGCTGCAGCACAATTGTCTGGGCACTGGTCTGACCCCCTCACCCATGTTTCCCACATACTGGCACCACTGGGGTATCACTTAGTGTTTGGGATGGAACACATGAAATGGGAGTGACCCTCAAAACAAAATAGGATCACATGGTAAGAGAGACAAAGAGGAAGGTGACTGATGACCGCAGAAAGGGTTCAGGAGGGCCAGTTCTTGGGGTGGGAGTGGCGGGGCCCAGGTGTGGTGGTTTGGACGGATGATCCAGTGCAGGGCAGGGTCTAAGTGGGGGTAGGGGCCCTAAGGGAGGGCCAGAGGGGAACCTGGGGGGACTGGAGGACCAGGGGCAGCTTGGGGTGGTGTGGGGGGGTTGCTGTGTACATGGCGGGGGTGGGGGGCACCTGGCATGTGGGGCTTGATGTTCACGCTGGGTCCCTTGTCCGTGTGGGGCTTGGTTTCTGTAGGATCCCAGTGTGTACACCCAGGGTTCCATACGTGTGAGGGAGGTCCCCTGTGCTCTCTGAGTCAGTGTGAATAGGCATCCCCTGTTTTCCTGTGGGGTCAGTGTCAGGGATCCCATATGCAGGAGGGGTCCTCTACGTGTGCAGACGTCAGCATGTTCCTGGGTGCCTGGTGTGCAGGACTGAGTGTGCTTGTGGGCTCTGCCTTCCTGAGGAGTCTTCTGTGCTTGAGCGGTGGGTGTACATAAGGAACACGCCATCGCAGGCCCGCGTGTGCATCGGGGTCGGTGCACGTGAGGGATGAGGGGCAGGTCATTTGGGGTTCGTCTGTGCAGGGGGGCATGTGCCGTGTCCCCTACACGGGTGGGCGTCGGTGTGAGGGGACGACGAAGAACAATGGGCACCCCAGGTGCTTGCGGGCATCAGCGTGTAGGGGGCCGGGGCCTGGCGGTCCTCCGTGTGGGCGCCAGTGCGGAAGGAGGCCGGTGGCGCTGAAGGGGTCCCCGGCGCTCTCGGGGCTCGGCGCCGCCCCAGCGCCCTCACCTGCCTCACCTGCCTGCCCCGCTCGGCCCGGAGGCCCCGGCCCCGCCCCTGGCGTCGGGCTGGCTCGTTTCCTAGCGACCGAGCCGGAACTTCCGCGTCGCCCCGACTTCCGGGGCGAGGGTCGGGGGTCAGCCTGGGACTTGGAGCCTGGGGTCAGCGGCTGGGCTCGCGGGGCCGGGGTCTCGGAAGGGAGCGCCTCGCGGCCTCCGGTGGCGCCGAACGGGGTCCCCGCGGGGTGCGGGCGGGCCGGGGCGCAGGGCCGGGGCGCGGGCCAGGGCGCAGGAATGCGGGCGCGCCGCGGGTGGGGCCGCCCCGCCCCCAGGTGCTGCCCGGGCAGGCAGGAGGCAGGAGCGCCGGGCGGGGCGGGGGCGGGCGCGTGAATCAGGCCGGGCCGGCGGGCGGGCCGCGCAGGGAGTGGCTGCCGGACCGACCGGACCGCGAGGCCGCTGGGCGGCGGTCGGCTCCTGCTGCCCCTGTGCCGAGACCCCGCGCACCTGGCCAGGTAGGGCCCCCTCCCCCGGCCTGGCGGGGCGGGGCGGGCGCCCCTCGGTGCGGCCCCCCAGGGCCGGGGCCGCGCGCTCTGGAGAGGGCGGTGGGGCTGGAGCGCGCGGCGTGCGCGGGGCGGGGGCGCGGACGGGGGCGCCGCTGCGCGGGTCTGGACACGAGCGCCGGCCCGCGAAGAGCCGACGTGAAGGGGCCCGGGGCCCGGGTCGAGCCTGCCCGGCCGCCTCGACTCGCTCCTGCCCTCGCGGCCCAGTTGGCGTCTGGGTGCTGGGCACGGCCTGGACCCTTCCCTGGGGACGGCCGCTGTGGAGCGGGGTGGCCGGGTGCGGCCTGGATCCCCGCGTGGAGAGCAGGGCGAGCGACGGGGGTGCTGCCCCTCGTGCCCACGTTGGGGTGGGGTGGGCGGATGGGGCACTTAGCCGCCGCAGCCGCTAGCGCGTAGGGTGCACTGACCCCGTTGGGCGCTGGGGTGCCCACCCCGCAAGCTATCACTGAGCTACTTCCGGCCTGTGGGCGCCGTCCTCCCCACCCCACCTTTCCGCCGCCTTGAGCCTCCGCGCCCTCCTGTGCCCGTCGGAACTTGGCACAGGCTAACTCCACGTCGTGTAGGAACTCTGGATCCTTCCATGGGGTCTTCCTTCCAGATACCCACTTACTGCCAGAGTGGAGAGGGTGGGGTCCTTGACGTCCAGCTGAGAGCCCTGACCTCAAGTTACAGGTCAGGGGTCAGCAGAAGAGTGGATTCGTGCTGAGTCACTGGCCATGGGTGGGTTCTGTGCCCGCCCGCCCTCCCTTGGGCAGGGGTTTGCTACACAAATGTGTGGACATGCAGGCCACTGGGGTGCTCCATCTCAGGCTCAGGAGTGGCTGCGGCCCAGTCCATAGCCGGGGAGACACAGACCCATGAAAGGAGACAACACGAGGAATGAAGCCATTGGAGGAAGCCATTGGCATCATTCTGTAAGGACGGTGGTGTGTGCCGGAGGGCTTCTGGCCACAGGGGTTTCCACAGTCCGGACGTCCCTGTCCCCATTACACACAGCCTGGACACTGTTGATTCCCCTACCCTGTGAAATCCAAAGGGACAGTGGGGGTCCTTTCTAGAGTATCCCCCCAGCATCGGGAAGTGCCCCTGAAGGTCAGCAGGGCTGTTCCCCCACGCCCTGTGTGATCAGACACTGCCTCTACAGCCAGGCTGGCAGTGGTGAGTGGGCGCCCCCGCCCAGCCAGACAGGCCTGCCCCTCACCCCCATGTGGTCAGCCTTGATCTGCTCCCGGCACAACCAAGACAGTGTGCCCTAACCAGCCCCACATGTCAACCATGAGGACAGTGCCTCAACAAAGAAATGTTGGGACAGCTCCTCTCAGGCCGGTTGGCATCTGGGGCTGGATAGCTGAGTGGCACCAGGTATTTCCCACGTGTCAACTCCATGTCACCCCCAGGGGCACCACGCAGGACGGCTGCCTCCTGACCCCAACATTCTCAGCCAGGTGGCTCCTGCTGGCACCCGTGCAGTCCAGCTGGCCAGCACCCATCCTGTCAGCGCCCCAGGGCACACTCCTCTGTCTGGGCTGAACGGCCTCCCCAGCCAGGGCCTACATTCGGGAACCTGTGTGCTAGGTGGGGATAGGTGTCCTGCCTCCCTCAGCAACCCGAGGAGCATTGGGATGGGCTGAGTGGTCCCTAGGGCTCTCCTTCCAGGGAGAGGTACCCAGGTAGCTCTGTGGCCATGTGCATGTGGGCCCTGGGTGCCCTATAGAGGTCCCCATCAGACACCTTTCTGGAGAGGCCAGGCCCCCTGCAGGGACCCTTTGGGGAACAGGGTGGGCTGTGGGGCAGGCAAGCGTGGATGGTGGTGGGGAGCCCAAGACCTGGAAAGGTCCCTGCTGCCCTGGACTGGGGCTGGTGGGGACAGGACTCTGAGCAAGTGAAGAGCCAGATCTGGGGGCTGTGGCCCAGGGAGGCTTCATCTAAGAGGGACAGTGACAAGAGACAGGTCAAGGGTGGGCCAAGGGAAGGAGAGTGGTTGGTAGGCAGGGACAGTCTAGGGGTCAGTTCCAGGGCTGGGTGGTCAGAGAATGGGCTGTGGGAACCCAACTGTGAAACTCTGAGGATGGGGAGAAGGTGTGGCCCAGGTCCACTAATGTGAACCTCCTCCTCGTTCCTGGAGGAGGGTGGTTACAGCCCTGTTTGCTGCGCTCACCTTAGGCTAAGCGTGGCGTCATGTGGACCCTCAGCTGTGCTGTGCAGTAGATGTAACAGGCCAGAGAGGTGCAGCGATTTATTCGGGGTCTCCCAGGCAGTCAGAGACACACAGGCAGCATGGGCAGCACCACCTTGTCCCGTAGGCACGGTGCCAGGAGCTCGTGAACATCTTAGAAAAAAAAGTGAATACTATGATGATGAATGTAGCCAGATTATGTTTGTCTTTAAGCCGAGAGTCATGAAATGTTTCAGAGGGTTTGGTTTTATTTTTTGTAGCTATGCAGTCTCACTGTGACGCAGGCAGAGTACATTGGCACAATCATAGCTGACAGCAGCCTGCAACTCCTGGACTCAAATGATCCTTCTGCCTCAGCTTCCCAAGTGGCTGAGACTACAGGCACGTGCCACCACACCTGCCTAATGTTGAAAATTTTTTGTAGAGATGGGGTCTTGCTGTGTTGCCCAGGCTGGTCTCAGACTCCTGGCTTCAAGCACTTCTCCTGCCTCAGCCTCCCAGAGGAAGGAGAGACAGGACTGGGATACCTGTGCCCCAGCCTGGGATACCTGCCGGTGCTTCCTCAGCTAGGGGCATCCTAGGGCTGGGCTGTCCTCTGTGAGCCTGGCTCGGCTGGTGCCCTGGAAGGCAGCCTGGGCATGGGCTGAACTCCAGCCTAGCCAACTCCCTAATGGCCCCTTCCACAGTGTGACCATGCTTGAGGGCAGGAGTGGTCCCAGTGCCCCCACCCCTAGTCATGTGTCTCCCTGCCCCTCCAGGCCCCTGGCCCCAACATGGCCCGTCGCTCCCAGAGCTCCTCGCAGGGGGACAACCCGCTGGCACCCGGGTACCTGCCACCTCACTACAAAGAGTACTACCGCCTGGCGGTGGATGCACTGGCTGAAGGTGGCTCAGAGGCCTATAGCCGCTTCCTGGCGTCCGAGGGGGCACCTGACTTTCTGTGCCCTGAAGAGCTGGAACATGTGAGCCGACACCTTCGGCCCCCACAGTATGTTGCCCGAGAGCCCCCCGAAGGCAGCCTTCTCGACGTGGACATGGAGGGCTCCTCGGGTACATACTGGCCGGTGAAGTCAGACCAGGCCGTGCCTGAGCTTGACCTGGGCTGGCCCCTGACCTTTGGCTTCCAGGGCACCGAGGTGACCACCTTGGTGCAGCCGCCACCCCCCGACAGCCCCAGCATCAAGGATGAGGCCCGCAGAATGATCCGTTCTGCCCAGCAGGTACGCCATCGCAGCTCTAGGGTGGTGTGGAGGGGCCTGTGCTGGAGGCACGAGGGTGGAGGAGACGCATGAGCATGACCAGCTTGTGGGGTGAGCCCTGAGCTCCAGCCACAGTCGGGGTCCCAGCAGAGATCTTGGTCACCACAGGCTGCAGGTTCTGCACAGTTCTCCTTGCCCGTGGTCATGGCCAGTGCCCAGAAACTCCTTGCCCGTGGTCATGGCCAGTGCCCAGAAACTCCAGGACTCTGGGATGGGTGGGCACCCCCACCAGCCTGGGTTCATTGTTCAGATAATTCCCTCTCATCCTGCTGGATGGCCCTTGGCCAGCTGAGGGCTTCACACCCTCACCAAGCAGCTAGCAGACTGCAGAGGGTTCTGTTAAACCATGGCAACTGAGGCTTCAGGTGTGAACGCTAAAGGCCCCTGCCTTTGTCCCCTGCCCAGGGCAGTGACCCCCTCCTGGACAGCGACCCCCCTCAGCCCTGACAGCTGCCCTGTGGGGGAGGGGCAGCTCAGCCATCTGTAGAGGGGAGATTAAGGGCCTTTTCGGTGCCCACCCTCATCCAGGGTTCTCTGCCCTGCACCTGCCTTGCCCCCCCCCCCCCACCCTCCACAGCTTATGGCCAGCAGCTCCATGCTGCTTCTGTTGGGTCCCTTCCTCTACCCATCTTCCCAGATGTGGCCCCACTCCCTGGGATGGGCCAGCATGTGTTTTACAGGGGTTGTGGGTAACCCAGACGCCTCCCAGGTGTGGAGGGGAAGCTAGACAATGGTGTGAGGACAGCAGGGGCCTCCGCTCTCCATCCTGACCCGCCCCTGCAGGTGGTGGCCGTGGTGATGGACATGTTCACTGACGTGGACCTACTCAGTGAAGTACTGGAGGCTGCAGCCCGGCGGGTCCCAGTCTACATCCTGCTGGACGAGATGAACGCACAGCACTTCCTGGACATGGCCGACAAGTGCCGGGTCAACCTGCACCACGTGGATGTGAGTTCCCGGGAGTGGGGGATTGGGGAGGCCCCCTGGCAGAGATCTGACTCCCCTCCCTCCCCAGTTCCTGCGTGTGCGGACCGTGGCGGGCCCCACCTACTACTGCCGCACGGGAAAGTCCTTCAAGGGCCACGTCAAGGAGAAGTTCCTGCTGGTGGACTGCGCTGTGGTCATGAGTGGGAGCTACAGGTGCGCCCACGGGGTTCCCTCAGCTCCTCTGGGGCCTCCTCCTGTCGCCCCAGTGCCACCCTTCCACACCAGGGCCCTCCTCACCAGGAGCCCTTGCCCTCTAGCCACCTGCACCTGTAGGCTGGACCCCAGCCCTTGCAGACCTCACGTCCCTGAGTCCTCCCCGTCCCACCCGCTGCCCACAAGGCTGCACTGCCCTTGCTACAGCTCGGTTTGACTCTGGCCCTGACCCCCCCACAGCTTCATGTGGTCCTTCGAGAAGATCCACCGCAGCCTGGCACACGTGTTCCAAGGAGAGCTGGTCTCCAGCTTCGACGAGGAGTTCCGCATCCTCTTCGCTCAGTCCGAGCCGCTGGTGCCCTCGGCCACGGCCCTGGCCCGCATGGACGCCTACGCCCTGGCTCCATATGCCGGGGCCGGGCCCCTCGTGGGCGTCCCTGGGGTCGGGGCACCAACCCCCTTCTCCTTCCCTAAACGAGCGCACCTCCTGTTCCCACCACCCCGCGAAGAGGGCCTGGGCTTCCCGTCTTTCCTCGACCCGGACCGCCACTTCCTGTCGGCCTTGCGCCGGGAGGAGCCGCTGCGGATGCCGGGGGGCGCCCTGGAGCCGCACGCGGGGATGCGGCCACTGTCGCGGCGCCTGGACGCGGAGGCCGGGCCGGCCGGGGACCTCGCGGGCGCGCGGGGCTTCTTCCAGGCGCGGCACCTGGAGATGGACGCCTTCAAGCGGCACAGCTTCGCGGCCGAGGGCGCGGGCGCCGTGGAGAACTTCGCGGCCGCGCGGCAGGTGTCGCGACAGACGTTCCTCAGCCACGGCGACGACTTCCGCTTCCAGACCAGCCACTTTCACCGCGACCAGCTCTACCAGCAGCAGTACCAGTGGGACCCGCAGCTCGCGCCCGCTCGCCCGCAGGGCCTGTTCGAGAAGCTTCGCGGGGGCCGCGCGGGTTTCGCGGACCCAGATGACTTCACTCTGGGCGCCGGGCCGCGCTTCCCGGAGCTCGGGCCCGACGGCCACCAGCGGCTGGACTACGTGCCGTCCAGCGCGTCCCGCGAGGTGCGCCACGGCTCGGACCCCGCCTTCGGGCCCGGCCCCCGTGGTCCGGAGCCCAGCGGGGCCCTGCGCCCCAACCTGGCCCAGCGCTTCCCCTGCCAGGCGGCGGCCAGGCCCGGCCCAGACCCCGCTCCCGAGGCGGAGCCGGAGCGCAGGGGCGGGCCGGAGGGGCGGGCCGGGCTGCGGCGCTGGCGCCTGGCCTCCTACTTGAGCGGCTGCCATGGCGAGGATGGGGGCGATGACGGCCTCCCGGCGCCCATGGAAGCCGAGGCTTATGAAGACGACGCGCTGGCTCCGGGGGGCCGGGCAGCTGCCGGCGACCTGCTCCCCTCGGCCTTCCGCGCCCCCGCAGCCTTCCCCACCAAGGTCCCGGTGCCAGGCTTGGGCGGCGGCGGCGGCAACGGCCTGGAGCGGGAGGGCCTGGAGGAGCCCGGCCTGGCCAAGCAGGACTCCTTCCGTTCGCGCCTGAACCCCCTCATCCAGCGCAGCTCCAGGCTGCGCTCCTCGCTCATCTTCAGCGCGTCACAGGCCGAGGGCGCGACCGGGACTGCGGCGGCCACCGAGAAGGTGCAGCTGCTGCACAAAGAGCAGACAGTGAGCGAGACGCTGGGGCCTGGCGGAGAGGCCGTGCGCTCCGCGGCTTCCACCAAGGTGGCCGAGCTGCTGGAGAAGTATAAGGGCCCAGCCCGTGATCCCGGCGGCGGCGCGGGCGCCATCACAGTTGCCAGCCACAGCAAGGCCGTCGTGTCCCAGGCATGGCGGGAAGAGGTGGCGGCCCCAGGTGGCGTGGGAGGCGAGCGCCGCAGCCTCGAGAGCTGCCTGCTGGACCTGCGCGACTCCTTTGCGCAGCAGCTGAACCAGGAGGCGGAGCGGCAGCCGGGAGCCGCCTCGCTCACCGCGACGCAGCTGCTTGATACGCTGGGCCGGAGCGGCTCTGACCACCTGCCCTCCCGCTTCCTCTCTGCCCAGGGCCGCTCCACCTCCCCCCAAGGACTGGACAGCCCTCTGCCACTGGAAGGGCCCGGGGAGCGCCAGGTGCCCCATTCTGAGCCAAAAGCGAGCCCCACCTCGGCTTACCCTGAGCGGAAGGGGAGCCCCACGCCTGGGTTTCCCACTCGAAGAGGAAGCCCAACGACAGGATTTATCGAGCAGAAGGGGAGCCCCACCTCAGCCTACCCCGAGCGCAGAAGCAGTCCTGTGCCCCCCGTGCCGGAGCGCAGGGTCAGTCCTGTGCCCCCCGTGCCGGAGCGCAGGGGCAGCCTCACCCTTACCTTCTCCGGAGAGTCCCCGAAGGCCGGGCCCGCGGAGGAGGGGCCGAGCGGCCCCATGGAAGTTCTGCGCAAAGGCTCCCTGCGCCTCAGGCAGCTGCTGAGCCCCAAGGGCGAGCGGCGCATGGAGGATGAGGGTGGCTTCCCAGTGCCGCAGGAGAACGGGCAGCCCGAGAGCCCGCGGCGGCCGTCACTGGGCCGGGGTGACAGCACGGAGGCTGCCACAGGAGAGGAGCGGGGCCCCCGGGCTCGCCTGACCTCAGCCACGGCCAACGCCTTGTACAGCAGCAACCTTCGGGATGACACGAAGGCCATTCTGGAGCAGATCAGCGCCCATGGCCAGAAGCACCGTGTGGTCCCTTCCCCGGGCCCCGGCCCAGCCCACAGCAGCCCCGAGCTAGGCCGTCCACCGGCTGCTGGCGGCCTGGCCCCAGATATGTCCGACAAGGACAAGTGTTCGGCCATCTTCCGCTCAGACAGCCTGGGGACCCAAGGCCGGCTGAGCCGCACGCTGCCGGCCAGTGCGGAGGAGCGCGATCGGCTGCTGCGCCGCATGGAGAGCATGCGTAAGGAGAAGCGCGTGTACAGCCGCTTCGAGGTCTTCTGCAAAAAAGAGGAAGCCAGCAGCCCCGGGGCTGGGGAGGGCCCGGTGGAGGAGGGCACCAGGGACAGCAAGGTGGGCAAGTTTGTGCCCAAGATTCTGGGCACGTTCAAAGGCAAGAAATGAGTCTCTTGGCCCAGCAGCCCAGGCCAGGGTGTCCGAATTGCTGCCACAGCCACCCGGAGCCCCCACGGAGCAAGGAGAGCACTGCTCCTGTGCTTGAGCGGTGGCTGCCAGGCCACGGCTGCTTGGGGCTTGGCTGAGTGCGCCACAGCTCGGCTCCTATTGGGGCTCACCCGGCAGCTGCCCTCTGTGCCCCTGGCCTCCCCAGTACTGGGGCTCCAGCCCCTCGCCACCAGTGCCTTTCTTCCCTCAGCACTTTCTTTCCTCAGTATCTTCATCTCTGCACCATCAGCCTTGCCTGGCGCAGAGTCTGGCTCTGCCATCTCTCTCTGCTTCAGTGCCCCCATGCCATTTTTTTTTTTTTTTTTTTTTTGAGATCCAAGCTGGAGTGCAGTGGTGCCATCTCAGCTCACTGCAACCTCTGCCTCCCAGGTTCAAGTGATTCTCGTGCCTCAGCCTCCCAAGTAGCTGGGATTACAGGTGCCTGCTAATTTTTGTATTTTAAGTAGAGACAGGGTTTCACCATGTAGGCCAGGCTGGTCTTCAACTCCTGACCTCAAGTGATCTGCCCGTCTCAGCCCCCCAACATGGGGGGATTACAGGTGTGAGCCTCTGTGCTCCACTGAGTCCCCTGTCCTCTTTCAAGGGCCCCACCTCTGTGCCTCAACTCCCCACTCTCTGGGGCCCCTTTCCTCCTCAGGGTCTCCTGCTCTCAGGGCTCCCCTCCCTGTCTCCTTACAGCCCCCTCCCTCCCTCTCTCAGGGTCTCCTCCATCCTCAGGGCTGTATTTCCTGTCCGGCTTGGATTCTCCCACTCACTGCCTCCCAGCATCTTTCTCAGAGGCCTGTCCTCTTGCTGTGGGGAAGACTGGGCTGGCTGCAGGCAGTCTGCAGGGGAGGGGTGGAGTCGGACCGGAAGGATGCCCCTTGGAGTGGCAAGGAAGCTGCACAGGGCAGACCACTGGGAAAGGGGCACAGGGAAGCCCCAGGGGCTGCCTTGCCAGGTCTGCCGTCTCCTCCAGCAAGGCTCTGGCCAGCACCGGGTGAGAGTGGGGAGGGGGCATTGGGTTTTGCAGCACAATAAAACGGTCCGGATGGACAACCTGTGGCCCCAGCCTCATGAGCGCCCCCTGCACAGGCCCAGCCCGGGCACCAGAAGGGCTGGATGGTGGGGTGTTTGTCTTGACAGGTGTGGGGCCAGGTGAGGGCAGGGGACAAGGTGCAGCCAAGGCTGATCCCAGCTGTTCAGACACAGGTCCTGGGCAGCCCTGCAGGCGGGAGCGGTCTTTGCCCTCCTGGTGTCCAGCAGACACCCCACCCTGCCCTGTTCTCAGGGCCTTTCCTCTTTGTCTCCAACACCAAGAATCTGTCCAGGCTTCCTGGCTTATCTTGTATCTTTTTTCACCCCCAGTGAGGAATTGTAACTGACTCAGAATGATGCATTTTGGCACCACATGCGTGGAAGGTCCCCCACTGTTAGATGCCAGCTTTGTGAAATTAGTGTTTCTGTATTACTATTTTTTTAATTGCATCTACACCACCTGGATTTGCTATTTCTTTTCAAAAAAGTTTTTTTAGTGTAATAAATCCTAAGAGAGAACTGACTTAAGAAACAAGGCTGCCAGAGGCAGCAGTTCTGGATCTAGCAGCTGGGAGAGGAAGGGAAGGGGCCCCGCTGTCACTGCTGGACAGCCCCAGCCGGCTGGTTACCAAAGCCACTGCCCAAATAGGGACGACAGCAGGGGCGTCTGGCCAGGTGGGAAAGGTGCCTGGAGCGGGTGCACCTGAGCGTCTCTTGTGGGCACGTTTGGCTTGGTGCTGCCTGGGGTGTGGCTGGACGGACAGGCTCTCAAAGTGGAGCCCATGAAGAGGCCAGAGGCTGGCTGCCCCACTGGGGCCTTCGGAGCCTCTTGCCTGCACCCTCCACATCTTCTAAACCAGGATGGGGCACATTTCGATGTGAATGAAACACAACCCACAAAATATTCTAGCATGTTCTCCGTGTGTATAATCGCCCAGTTCTGCCCTGCAGCCTCTAACCATGTGGCCTCTTGGGTTTCTCCTGTGGACTCACCTTCCATCTCTGTGGGGGGCACTAAAGACCCCCCAGCTTCACTCCAAGGTCCACCTTGGCCCCTCCAACTTCACGCTGTATGTGTCTCCTGTCCCTGTCCCCAATGCTGCCTGGGCAGGCACACTCCTGGGCACCCACCTGTGTTCCCCCACTCAGCAACCCCACCACACTCTGCCTAGCCTGAGGCCAAGCCTCCAGCCCTGCAGCCCCCTGGCTTCTGTGTCCTGCTTGTTGAGCACCCTAGGGCTGTGCCTTGGGCTTGTGAAGTTCAACAAGCAGACCGTTGGGCAGACGCCTCAGGAGACAAGCCCATGGCAGGGTCTCTGACGGGCTCACCACCTCCCCGCGCCCTCCCGCTCCCCCATCCACCTCCTCCAACCTTCTCCCAAGCCCAGCCTCCCTTTCTGAGTCTCCTGTAGGTGCCTGGCCCAGCACCGAGGCAGCGCCAGCTCCCAACCTCTGCTCAGCCCCCCTGGTCACACCTTGTCCTTCCTCGCCCTTCCCCATGGTGACAGTTGCTTCCACAAGCCCGCAGAGCCCCTGCTCCTGGCAGCCCAGCCCCAGCCACAGCACAGGCTGAGCCCTTCAGATGGAGCTCTTCCAGCCTGTGAGCTTCCCGGACAGTGAGCCCGGAGCCCAACCCCCGCCAACAGCACAGGCTGCGCCCTTTAGACTGAGTTCCTCCCTGTGAGCTTCCCAGCTGCCTGTGTTCCAGCCCCAGCTCAGGGGCAGGTGCAGCTGTGGACACCTGGCACCCTAGGACACAGCTCTTTGCCCACAGGGCCCTTTGATCTCTGCAGCCCTGCACAGCCCTGGCCTGAACTCACACCAGGGTTTTTGCCTGTGGGTGAGCAGAGGAGGTAACCCTGACCCCACACCCACCCTCACCTATGGAGACCTGGAGACAGATCAGGTGCAGTGGCTGTACAGGGGTGGGGTGGGGGCGCAGGCTGCAGTCCCTGACAGTGCAGGAAGGGTGGGGCTGATCCCTTCTCTCCTCTGGCTCAGAGTCACAAAGATGGCCATGGGGTGACCCTAGGTCCCCATCCCACAGGTCCACCCTGGGGGGCAGCGTGGACCCCGACGCCACAGCAGGTGGGGAGATAATGGACAAAGGACAGGAAGCTGCCCAGGCAAACCTAGAGGAAAAAGCTCACTGCAGGACGTGGAGTAGGCAGGACCTTCGGGGTGGAAGTCTGAGGACAGGGGCGGTGGGGTCCTCGGCGGAGGGGAGGCTCCAGGAAAGGGGTCGGGGCCCCCAGCTAGGAGGTGCTATGGCCTTAGAGGGGAGTGGAGGAATGATGGCTGCTTAGGTTGGGGGCAGACATGAGTTTATTGGAGGAAGTCACTGGAGCTGGGGCAGGGCCCTCGTCTCCCCCAGGGAGACCCAGGCAAGCTCCCTGGAACTTCAGTGTGGCCAGGCAAAGCAGGGAGGGCTAAGGGGTGCAGGAGACCCGGGGAGGGTCCGGGAAAGGTGCTGGGGCAGGAACAGGGCCAGATGAAGGGAGGAGGGTGGCTCACACGCGGTGACCCTCTAGCAGGGGCAGGTGGCCCAGTGCCGAGTGGCTGACAGTCCCGTAGGCTTGAGAGTAGCCTCCAAGCAAAGCCCTGGCGGCCCCCTGAGCCCCCTGTGAGGCAGAGGTGTGGAACATCCTCCGGCCGGGCCGGGGAGGGACCTGCATACAGTTAAGAGTCACGTAAGGGGAGGTGTCAGAGGGGGTGCAGTGGAGGGAAGGCCTTGAGGACCTCGAGGGATTCGAACTGGGAAGGATGGGGAAGGGAGTAAAAAGGAGGATGGGGGAGGGGCAGACTGGGGCTGGGCTCACCTGTTGGGCACCGACCACGCTCACCCCACCACCTCGGTTCCGGTTCTGGTCACCCCGGATCAGGGCCTGGTTGGCCACCTGAGCCACAGACTGTGAGGTCAGGGAGGACGCTGCTCCCCTCTCACTTGGCTTCACCTGGGAAGGGGCACATTACAGGGTCACTGAGAGGCAAAGAGAGACGGTCCCTCCTGTGCCCACCCCACCATAACTTACCAGGGAGAGTGTCAAGCGGAGCTCTGCCTTTGCCCCAGGGGGCCTTTCCCCCCTCCCTAGGGGTGCAGCTTGGAGCAGGGGAGCGGACTTCTGCCTGGGAATGTTCTCGGCTACACGGGGGGACTCTGTAAGGTCAGAAGGTCAACCCCAGGGTCAGGAGCCGGGTGCTGCACACAGTTGGCAGACACAGGAGGAAGCCCGGGCCACGATCCTTGTGGGTGGCCAGCAAAGGTCACACACCGTGCTCTGGGGGGTCGTGGCCCGGGCCATTCTGAGGCCTGGGTCTGGGGCTCTGCACAGGTGTCCCTGAAGACAGCTGAGGGTTGGCTCTGGGCTTGCACAGGTGTGCCTGCGATGGGGAGGCCCTGGGCTCTGCCCCTGGGGCGACGCCCTCCAGGCCCTTCTCTCTTGAGGTGCAGCCGCGGCCTCCGTGCTCCAGGATCATCTGCGGGACAGGAGGGTGCTCAGAGGTCGCAGCCTGCCCACGGGGCGTTTGGGGGTCTCTGACATAGGAGGCGGCTTCCAGAGTGCTGGTAGACCGGGGATGACAGGGGTCACGGGCCGGAGCACCTGATAGACGCGGCTGCGGTACTCAGGCGCGGAGAGCTGGACCCCTTCGTGCACCCGGTGCCGCACAGCCACCTTTCGTGCCCACACGTCGCTGGGGCAGTGGAATCTGCAGGGAGCCGGAGAGGTGGGGCCTGGGCTTCGGTCAAGCCAGACCTGTAGGCTGTCATCACAGGGCCCAGGTTTGGGGGCTCTCCCCCCGGCCCCCACCCCGCACTGGGGGGGCCTCTCCCTCTCCCACCTCTGCACGTAGGGGTGCTGCAGTGCCTGGGCTGCACTTAACCGCTTGTCCGGGGCGAACACCAGGAGTCGCCTGAGGAGGTCCAAGGCCTCTGGGCAGGTGTCTGGTGGCAGGAGAGCGTCCAGCGTCCGCCGTGGCCCGTGGGCTGCTGTGTGTTGTCTCCAGGGACCCACCCAAGAGCCCTCCTCAGATCCATGTTCACGGCTGGGGCTCGGCTTCCACACAGGGGCCCACTCTGCTGTCCTGGGTGGATGCCCCCACACCTGACCTGCAGGCAGTCTGGGCCCTGCAGCGTGCAGAGACCCCTGCGGCCCCTGGGTGCCCTCCTCTCCAAGCCCTGACACAGCGCCTCAGGGCCACCCTCTAGGAGCACCAGTGGCTCCTGCTCTCAGAGCGGCCAGCAGTTGCTGGGTTTGGAACCTGAACTGGTACAAACCGGCCCCAGTCACCCTGCAGGAAGGTGGCCCTGCTCCCTCAAGACGAGCCACCCTCTCACCCTCACCAAGGCACCCCCACTCACCGGGACCCCAGGTGGTGCAGCACAGAGGCCCGGCAGCCTGAGCCGAGAGCCAGGAGGTCTGGGGCAGCAGAAGGTGGTGTGACCCAGGCAGGCCTGGCAGGCTGGGGCAGCTCAGGCATCTGGGGCCAGCCATCTCTTCCAACCCTGGGACCACAGCCTCTTGACAGGGTTTCCACTGTCTAGCAGGGCTCAAACACCCCATGACCAGGGCGTGCCCCTGGCCTGTGCTCAGAAGCACCCCACATGACCCCTACTCCACACACCTGCACCTAGCCCTGGGGAGTGCTCACACTGGTGGATACCGGAACCCACCTCCACGGACCCGGAGGCTCCACCCAGACAAGCAGATGCGCCTGGTGGTACAGCTCCCTCTTGCCCCCACTCTCAAGAGTGACCCCCATGGCCCTACTCCTAATACTGCCTCCCTCCACCTCTTCCCTCAGCACCCGAATCTCTCCTGCCAGCTTTCTGTGCACACCCCAGCTCCCAGCACAGTGACGGACCCTGCCCCTGCCACCCCAATCCCTCCAGGACCTTGTCCAGCCTGCCGGCCCCTTCATGGCCACTGCTGGGCTCTCATGGTGCCTGTGCCAGGTGCTGCCTGCCCACATCCGTCCCCAGCAGCTCCTCCTGGGCCTCCATCACCAGCTGGTCTTCCTGGGGCTCCTGTCCTATCCTCCAGATCCTCCCTCTCGCTGTCCCCATCCCTCCTCCCAGCACAGTCCTGGCCTGTCAGCTGCTGTCTCCCCACAGCTGTGCTGTCTGACCCAAAGCATCCTGGTGCCCAACCCCAGCTGCCTGGCTCACCCTCCTCGGAGGGCGGTGGGATGGTCTCCAGGATCAGCTCCAGCTGGTGGAGGGTGGACGTGCCCGGGAACAGGGGCTTCCCCTGAAGCATCTCCGCCAGGATACAGCCCAGACTCCACATGTCCACCCCAAGGGTGTACCTGGGGCAGGAAGGGGTGTAGGCATGGAGGGACCTAGAGGCAGAGGTGGGGATGGAGTTGCTGGGAGGGTGAGTGAGAGAACACTCGTGGCCTTGGAGCTCTGGCTAGGCAGGAGGGCAGCCCTGGGGGCCCCTGGAAGGAGGTAGAGGGTGGGTTGGGAGTGTCTCACTGCTACCGGTGTGAAGACAGCAGCACCTCCGGAGCCCGGTACCAGCGTGTGGCCACATACTCCGTCAAGGCCTGGCCCTCAGGCCCCTCGGGGAGGTCGCTGAGGGAGCGGGCCAGGCCGAAGTCGCACAGCTTCACCGTGCAGTTAGCATCCAGAAGCACGTTGGATGGCTGCAGAGAGGAGGCAGGCTGAGGCCCTGGGGCCGGGTGGGGCGGGAGCTGGACTCTGGCACTGTGGGTGCTGCACCTTCTGGTCCCGGTGCACGATGTGCCCCGAGTGGAGGAACCGGGTGGCCTGCAGGAGCTGGCAGAAGATGGAGCGCACGTGGACGTCCTGCAGCAGCCCGCCCTTCCGGATGACTGCGTTCAGGTCCGTGTCTGGGGAGAGGGTGCACACTCCAGTCTGGGGGTGGAGGGGGAGGGGGTGGGGTGGCACCCTGGAGGAGTGGAAGAGGGGCACCTGGCAGGTCTGTCTCACTTTGAACCAGCCCATGGCCTGCCCGCCCCACTCCTCCATCCTGCGCACAGCCTGTGGGCACAGCGGTGGGGTCTGCAGCTGTGCTGATTTTATTTTTTTTATTTAAAAAATAAAATAAGCCGGGCGCAGTGGCTCACGCCTGTAATCCCAGCACTTTGGGAGGCCGAGGCGGGTGGATCACGAGGTCAAGAGATCGAGACCATCCTGGTCAACATGGTGAAACCCCGTCTCTACTAAAACTACAAAAAATTAGCTGGGCATGGTGGTGCGTGCCTGTAATCCCAGCTACTCAGGAGGCTGAGGCAGGAGAATTGCCTGAACCCAGGAGGCGGAGGTTGCGGTGAGCCAAGATCGCGCCGTTGCACTCCAGCCTGGGTAACAAGAGCGAAACTCCATCTCAAAAAAAACAAAAACAAAAAAAATAAAATAAAATAAAAAATTTAAATTATATTTTTATTAATTTTTTTTATTCTAAAATAAAAAACACTTTATTTCCTATTGCCTTTGTTTCATAAAACGAGATGAAAAAGAACGCAGCTGCAGACTGGCGGGAGCAGGAGGGATGAAGGGGTCGCTGCTGGCTCCGGAAGCTGACACTGGTCAGCTGTCTGTCCCTGAGTCCAGGGTACACGGCAAGGGAGCAAACCACCATGGGGTGGCCGCAGAAGGAGTGAGGACAGGCCAGAGGTGGGGCCGGGGCGCTGGCCGAGGCCTCACTCACCCATACACTCAAACACCAGGTAAATGTCGCTGTCGTTCTCTGCCCGGATCACGTCAAGGAGACTGATGATGTTGGGATGCTCCCCAAACTCCTGGGGAGAGAGTCGGCGGCGGCTGGAAGGCCAGGGATTGCCTCTGGGGTCCGAGAAGCCTGGCTCCTCTCCTGTCTGGAGAGGTCTGTTTCTGGGGAAGGGGACTGGGCTGGAGGGCCCAGGCTACTCACCTGGAGGAGAGTGATTTCCCGGAATGTTCTCTGAAGAGACAGAAACACAGGTGTGTGGGTGGGTGGAGCAAGAAGGAAGCCCATGTCCTGAGAGGACCCAAAGGAGCTGATGTCCATCACCCAACACCCACCTGACCAGGCATGGCAGAGGGGGCGGTGTTCCGAGACAAGCCATAACATCTGTGACCAGCTCCCAGCTCCCACCTGATTCCAGGTACCAGGGCAAGAGGCTGCCGCTCCCTGCCCCCATCCTGTCCCACACGTCTCCCGCACACTCACCTGGGCATCTGTCTTATCCCTAAAAGCATCGAAGATTTTCTTGATGGCCACGACCTCGCCTGTTGTCCGGTCCACTGCCTTCCACACAATGCCGTAGGCCTGGGAAGGAGTGCCATCGCACAGGACCAGCCCCTTGCCCCACCATCCCCTGCCCACCCAGACTGCCCCTGCACACATGAGGCTCCTCTTTCCCATTCTCGGTCCCCAGAAGGGATGGGAGTGTGGGCTCCACAACTGCAGGCCACCCTAGACTCTGACATCTTCCAGAGTAGGAGGCAGAAGGGAGGGTGAGAGCTGGCGAGGCCCTGGAGGAAAGGAGACCACAGAAGGGAGCATCTGGGCAGGTGCCCAGGCACTCTCCCGCCCTCTCCCTCACACCCATCCAGCCCCTAGTCCCGTTGGCCCTCACCTTCAGATTCCTCCAGAATCTAGCCCCTGCCACCATCTCCAATGCCCCCACCCTGGTCCCAGCCTCTGGCATCTCTCACTCGGTGGCTGCATTCACCACTAAGGAATCTCCGTCTGCCACTCCCTGGCATGCCAACTGTGGGGTCTCAACACAGGGGCAGGGTAGGCCTTATAAAGCGACACCGGCAGCTGCTACAGCTCCTGGCATCAGCAACAGTGAAAACCAAAGTCCTGGAAATTCCCCGAAGCCCCCACACGGTTGGACACCTCACCACTTATCTCTCCATCTCTTACCCAGTGGCACACAAGCCTGCACTGGGCCTGAGCACTTGCTATCTGCACTGCCGGGAAGGATCTTCCTCCCCCTGCCCATGGCACTCCCCACACACAGAGGCTCCCCTGCTCACTCAAGCACACAGATACACTTGGCTCTGGCCTTCACTCTGCACCCACCCCATACCCGCACAGGCCCTTCTTGGGCCTCACCCCTGTGCTCCTGAGCCTGGGGTCTGCCCTCCCTCTCAGTGACTGAGGCACGGGCCCAGCCTCCCCAGAGCGTCCTGTGCACCCAGGAAGCGGGAGACTGTGGGCACATGGGAAGTGGGGTGCCAGGATTCCTCTGCTTGAGGCTGCTAGGGGGCCTGGCTGTCACCTGCCCCCAGGAGCCGGGATCCTGGGAGTCACGGTCGTGTTACCCCATGAGGAAACTCAGGCACGAAAGGGCTCCAAACCACCCCTCCGCCTACGGAGGAGGCAGGACGCCAGTGTGTGACGGAACAGGCCTGGGGGGGGGGGGACCAACCATCCCCCGCAGGTATTCTCTCCGCAGGGCCACCCCTCGGAGGGCAAGCGCGTCCCCGGGCACTCACCCCCTTCCCAAGCTGCCGCCTGAGCAGGTATCGCCGGGCAACATGAGGGTCCACTGGAGCGCACATGGCAGCCAAGACACAAGCGGGAGGTACTGTTGAGTAGGTTGCCGTGGGAACCGATGGACGCTGGCCCGACCCCGCCCTTCGGTGCGTCCCGCCCACCTCTCCGCACCCCGCCCCCCGGCAGACCCTGGCCCCGCCCCTTGGTGCTCTCCGCCCACCTCCCACACAGGCCCCGGCCCCGCCCCTCAGTACCCACT